ATGTAGTCCCTGAAAATAGGTTTCTCAAGTCAATGTGATCATTCCGTCTCAATTATGTCAAAAATTATGTTATCTGTTGATGTGAGTTTAATAATTAATTAAGGCAAAACACCTTTTTGCACAGTGAGATTATCTCAAGGCAGAGCTTGCCGTTCTCCGTGTCACCAAGATCAATGGGGGAGAGCCCAACAAGCTCTCCAAGATTAAGGTTGTGAAGTTGTTGATTGCCCAAATGTTGATGGTAGAGTCACAGAAATCATCACCAATCCAAACTGTCACCAAAGGTGGTCTTGATCCTAATCCATTCGATGAAGGGTGTAAAGATGGGTGTCTTGAGATTTTTTTTTTTTTTCAGAGAATAAATGGGCAAAGGCTACCATAGATAGAGGTAGAGGAGTGTGGGGTGGATCAAAGGTGATTGCGGGACCGAGTTTCTAGGTTGACAACTTTTTTAATTAATTATTAAAGTATTAGACCTATTTCTAATTTATTTTTTATTTAGTTAGACTTGTGGGTCCATTTATATGCCACATCAGTACATAACAAAAATTTTGACAGAATTACGACGGAAGGAACACATTGATTTGCGAATGAATTAAAAGATAAGTAATCAAAATGAATAAGTTCAAAATGAGACTTAAGTTAGTTCCGGATTTAATAGTCGAATGAGCCTTGATCAGTCAAACTCAATAAGTTAAATGGTTTAACAAACTCATCTCTTCTTCATATCTCCCCTTGGTGTGGAGAAATTAGAGGTTTCTTATCTTGGGAACTTGGAGATTCTTATTCCACCATCTAAATCCAAGAAGCTTAGCAGCAAATGAGAGCAAAGGAATAAAGGCCTCCCTTGGGTGAAGCCTTTGAAAATGTAAAGAGGATCTATAAAGGCATAATGGATTCTCAACCCTCTCTTGTAAATTTGAGTTTAGTCATGGTTCACCACACAACTAGGCTTTGAATTTCATGGTTGAGATTTGTTTTTTAGTCCATGTGTACTAGCTTCCGCACTTGAATTGTTAAGTAATCAATGTATGTTGCTCAAATAATCTTCATTTAGCTAAAGTTTTCCTTCAATTCATCCTACAACATGGTGAGTGATCTTTGCCTTTAGTAGTGGATGAATTGGCACATGCGTTTGTTGTGCTTGTTGATTCTCCACGAGCTTGTTGAAGAACACGAGTGTTTGGGTGTTTGGTGTTTACTTTGGCCAGAGGGGGTTGAGTTCTTCTAAAGTCCATCTCTTGAAAATGCGCCTAGTATTTATAGGCGAGCAGTTGATTTTGTGGGATTTATTTTTTGATTTGAGCTAAGTATTTAATTTAGCTACTTAACTAAATTAAAATCTTTAAATTAAATCTCAATTGATATAATTTGATCAAATTAAGGTTATTTTGTTCCCTTTTGAACTTGATTTTATTTGTTTGACAGAGGTTTCAGGTAAACTCTTGACAACTCATCCAGTTTTTTATGATTTCATCTCCCTTGTGTGCAATTTATACCATTATGTGCACCACGTAAGTCCTTGTAGGTCAAAATTTGATTTGTTGACAAAATTGGCAAACGTTTATTTCATCAAAACTTACATGTCTAAATGTGTTATGTAGTAATCACTATTTAGTAATCATGATACTATAATGTTCTGTAAAAACAAAAATCATGATATAGTATTCTGTATAAATCACCATGGAAATAATAGCACTAAATTATAGCAATATCTTACCTCTAAAAAGTTCTAAAGCATATATTAGCACATGGAATAGTGAACAATCGACAATTAAATCTTAGTTTAGCTTATTTTGTTGTATGATTTAGGGTTTTTTTGAGAGTCAACTTGAAGTCCTATTTTCATTGAAGCCCACAAGAATTAAAACAAAAATCCTATTAAACAATATTTTCTACTTTTTTTTTTGGTTAATTTAGTTAATTAGTTGGACTTGGCACTCTAAATACGCATATACGAGAAGTACAAAAAAAAAAAAAACAAAGATATTATCCTTACCAAACATTTAATCAAGAGTTGAAGACATGTTTTTATTTTATTTATTATTATCCTTATAAAAAAAAAAAATATTACTTGTCAAGCTTGAACAACTGAGCTTAGCTCAAGCCTTCCTTCGAGTTTTTCATAAAAACTTTAGAGCAACTCACGAGCTTTACGAGCCAAACACACCAATGCTCAAACTTGACTATTTCTTGATCGAGTCGAACTAGGCTTGACTTGATTTTTTCATGAGCTGAACTTTGATGAGTCAAACACAAGCGGACCTGAGGTGGGCTCCAATTGTTTCGAGCCAACTTACATCCCTAACTATAACAAAGGGGAACTACTATTGATACTTCAAAATTTTAATTGTGTACTTCTCATAAGATTATTTTTAATTGTAAATATAAAAAATTTAAAGTGTACAATTGAATTTTAGAATACCAATAATAATTTCTTTAAAAAATGCTGATCAAAATAATAATAAGAAAAATAATAGAAGGTAGGCATAATTAGTTAGTTAGAAGATGTCAGCAAATATATGCCACATGTCTCTCTTTCTGTCTAGGTGTGATATAAAGTGAGAAACGGTAGATGCCAAAGCTAGTTAGGTCAGGTGGTGTCCCATAAATAAATAAAATATTCATTACTCATTGTACTATGGTCTGGCGGATGTTAGGTTCTTACAGTTTTCAGTTGAAAAAATGAAAAAAAAAAAAGAATATGGTATCATCAATGGTAATCCTTACCTAAATCTACCCAAAATTGGTTACATACAAGTCAGTTTGTTTGATGATTTATTCTAAGTAGTAGGATTTTGATTGATTGACAAGTTCATAATCCTAAAAACATGTAAATATAACTATCACGGTGTGATCCAGTGGTTAGAAATGAATTTCAAATTTGTATTTAAGAGGGCACATCTTGGGTTAATTTCTGACACTGGTGAATCATACGATAATGAAGAGAGATGCCAAAATGTCCTTGTGACTCTTCCCGACCCCAAAAATAGATTGTCGTGACGAAACCACTCATTAACCCCTTTTAAAAAAGAAAAAAACGTGTAAATACATAAGTCATTCAATTGAGAATAATTCTTAAATGAAGTAACGAGGAATCGTTAGTACTTAATCAAAGGCGGAGTCGAGAATTTTCAATATGATGGGCTAGCTAAGAATACTTAACAATATTTAAGCATTTTTAATTTCATTGTAGTCTTTTGAAAATTGAATCTTAGTGTAATCGTATAATCAAATACAGCCTCTTAATTCATTTTAGCAAACTTTAACATGGATATTAAATAAATACATTTTAAAAATGCATATTAAAAAATACATATTAAAATGCATATTAAAAATTTCATATTAAAAATGCACCCTATGGAAGGTTCATATTATTAAACTCGATATAAACATGTACAAAAATATATTATTTAGGAGTTATTGTTAATTAATTTTAATTTTTTTCATAATACTATGTTATTAAGCGCTAATTCATTTTTGTAATCGTATTATCCAATCTTAATTATCATGTCACATCCTCCTATATCCTAAATGAAAGTATCTTTACTATCACACCACATTTTTTTTTTTTCATCTGTCATATCAATTTCACATCTTTTGAATGTAGTATGTGCAGAAAAATAAAATCTTATGTCGATTCCCGACATATATACATATGGGTGTCTTCAACGCTTGATATTATTGAGATTTTTTGTAATAAAAATTCAACATCTAATAATAAGTGATTAAATTGAAACAATATAATTGATGATGGTAGTGAATTATGTTGGGCCTAAAAGTTTATCAGTGTTCACTTACCTTCGGCTTAATAAATAGGGTTTGCCTATTTCAGAATTGTATCTTGATTTAATATAAGTGAATATAAGTACCCACACTATAGAGTATATTCCACAAAAATAGTCACTTAGGACTGATTTGGTAGTACATGATTAGATTGAAATAACAAACTCACACATTTCAAAGTATATTAAAGATGGAAGTGAATGAATTTTTATTTAGAAAGGATTAGAGGAGGATTAGCTATGCAGAAAATTCAACCCTCCCGACCCTACCATATTAAGGAGGATAGGAATGGATAAATTTTCTTCACGAGTAATCCATTTTCTATCCTCTATGTGATCATGATTTTAGGATAGTGCTATTCATAAACATTTTTACTGCTCACACAACCCTCTCAACCGTTAGCCATCAAATCGAATGAATTGAAGAAGATATTGACCACAATTTAATAAAAGTGTGTGCGAGATAAAATTAAATGTGTAAATGTACCATCCTAATTTTATCATTCTCTTTTTAACATACCTTTTATTTAATAGGTTATCCATCGTATTCTAATTCTATGCACCAAACACGGGCATTATCCACCCACTAGATATAAGATTTTTCATTTCTAGGTCAAACCAGTATATATGATTTGATGTATGGAATTTCAGAACCCGAATAATGCCGGTTGCCGAACACTACAGCTCACTAGAGAGACTTTAACCGAACTTATCTGCTGACTGTGTGCGTCAAATGCGCATGCAATGTAGACGTGGTAGAATAAGCTTTGCATATGCAAATAACAATTCTTGAATGACCAAAACTTAAGTCAGTCGTAGCATGACCTCTCAAAAATTTTATACAACGTGACGTGTAAGCTATATTTGCATTTCGTTGACAAAAAAACTCATCAATTTAGGGAGGATTAGAAATTCAAAGAGACAAAAGGTGTAACTTGATACATTTCCAAACATTTAGGATGCAATGCAAGAAAATTGAAACATCGTGGCTCATTTTGAAGATCATCTCAAATTTCAAATATACGTACACCTTTCCACCACAAGAGCAATTCAAGAAACGTGTTATTTGTGAAAGATAAATTTACAGATGATATTATTTGATTGAAACATTACGTTGACAATTCCATATAAGTCATCCTAAACCACTAGAGTAGAATAATTCACATTAAATCCCCACAATGTAAACAAATATGTAAATGATAAATGATAGAAGAATTCAAACATAAGTAAATGTCGATTTCCAAATGATTATTGTTCTTTCATATTCTACGTCCGTACAATACAAGATCCAGAAAGTAATAAATTCGAAAGTGAAGGTATTTAACTTATCAAAATGTGTATTTAAGAAGAGAAAAAAGAAAATAAATAAATAATAAAATGGTGCTATGGATTCAAAGCAGGTCTGTGAAATCTGTAGAAGCCATTGTTACTGGTGCACTGACAATTGCTGCATGCCTCACTGCTTTGAAATCCAACCTGGCAGCACACACACACCGCCTGAGCCACCGCCACCGCCGCCGTCGACTGCACCCTCCCAAAAGACTGATGATTATTATTACTATTACAGGGAACTATGATCCGCTGCAGTCTTGATTCGGCCGAGTTCCCAGACGATGCCCGAGTTGGCTCGGACTGAAACGGCTCTAGCCCAATTGAAAGATCCAAGTTGAGATCAGAACACTTATACTTGTTCTGTTGTTTTTGGTCTTCTTCGGTTGTGGTACCGCTGCCGGTAGTGGTGCTGCAATTGGCCTCCGATTCTATATTGTAATTGTAGTACTCATGCTCCATTTTGGGGTGCTTCAACAATTCAAATTTGTTGTTTTTGATGGTTTTGTGATCAAATACAGCGGACGATGGCGAAGAACGATTTCTCAGGTCCAAGCGAGAGGCGGGCGTGGCGGCAGCAGCGGCGGTTGTGGTTTGGTTAAGCGGGCGGTGGGTTTGAGGGTCGAGGCCGCGGCTGATGAGCTTTCGCTTGATGTGTGTGTTCCAGTAGTTTTTGATCTCGTTGTCGGTTCTTCCCGGCAATCGGCCCGCAATCAATGACCATCTACACACATCCAATCAAATTACAAATCAATCGTACGCAGGCAATCCACCGCTTGAAGAAAAGTGGGTGATTTGGTTACTTACTTGTTTCCAAGCAAGCTATGAAGCTTGATGATGAGTTCATCTTCTTCTTGTGTGAAATTACCACGCTTGAGGTCAGGGCGGAGGTAGTTTATCCATCTCAACCTGCAACTCTTGCCGCACCTGAGCAACCCTATAAAATTATACATGAACAAAAATCGAATTTTTTAATGATAGATCATAGACGGAGGAATATTGAATTGAAACTGAATTGTTGGAAGGATGAATATACGTACCGGCGGCTTTAGGGAGGGAGCGCCAGCAGCCCTCGCCGTGCTGGCGGATGTGGTCGATGAGGCGCTGGTCCTCCTCCTTCGTCCATGCCCCTTTGTTGGTGTGAGCTTTCTCACAACAAGGTGCTCTCCCCATCTGTTTCTTCTTCTGGATCAGATACAATACAACAGTAACTCTGTGTGTGTATAGGTATATAGATATATAGATATATATATATATATAGAGAGAGAGAGAGAGAGAGAGAGAGAGAGAGTTTGTGGTGTTTTGTTTGAAGAGGTGAAAGAGATAAGAAGCAAGAGAGAGACAGAGAGTTTTGGTTGTGGAAATAGCAGGGAAGCAAAGAGATTTATATGTAAGAAGACAGACAGATTACTCATAGGAGAGAGAGGAGAGAGAGAGAGAGTCGGAGGGTTTGATTTATGAGGTGGGGAGGGAAGGATTTGACCGAGTTGGTGAAAAAGACGAGTGGTTAGTGGTTACAGATATGGCTCCATTTTGGTAGGTAGCTCTACTTTTACGTCACATTCCTATTTCCTTCCCTTTGTGGGATTTTCTTTTTCTATTCATAATTGATAATTCAAACCACTTTTCCTTTTAAGATATTTTATGACGTGGAATGGAAATACGTATATTAACGGTTAATAGTCACTCATAAGCGTGAATCAGAATTTCAAATCAATTCAACATTTCAAATGCTTCCACATCGGCGTTTTATTTCTCCAATTATATTTTCTTTACTAACAAATACGATATTAATTTGAAGCATTCTGATTTATAGTTAGGGGTTTATAAACTCAAGTGGTACATTACTTTAGTTCAGACTAACCGGTTTAATTCTCATTTTACTATTTACGAAACTATCTAATTAATAATTTGTGTGTGACTTAAAAGCAGTAGAAAGTCTTTCTCATCAAGAGTAAATACTCTCATTATTCGTATATCACTTAAATTCACTTTATTTATAAGAAAAGAACATAAAAAATAGATTCGTTGCATGAAAATTTTTCTCCATAGAAAGAAAACACTGCATTAATACAATTACCGAATTGCCCCCGATCGCCTAAAATTATTTTTCCTGTGGGCTGAGGTTTCCTTACATGGTGGTGCCTTACTCGAGGGGCATGTTTGTCTTTTAGCCAACAGTCTTATCTTACTGTGTACCATAATTTTAAAATTTGGGAACAAATTAAAGAGGAATATTCCGAGTCATATATTTTATGCTATTCCCTCCCAATGGTAACAATATTTTCAAAAGGGTCCTCAAAAAGTATAAAAGGATTTTGTTTTGTCAAAAGGAGGATGAAAAGGGTATCATAGTGAATATTGGATATTGGGGAAGGATATCAATTAGGGAAAAGTATCTGGTATGCATAGCAAGAAGAATAATGTTAATCTTATCACATTTTATATCATGTATAGCATCGCATAATATGGCAAGTAGGTGCAATGTTATGCATGACATCTTATTGAATGTCGATTATCTTATTGAATGTTTACCGAAAGAAAAATGCTAGTAGATCTTTGGTGGTTTGCCAAACTGTGGTCTTCCCACTCTTATCAAATATATCATATGTTACATCATGTGGTATTAAAATTGGTAAAAATCATGGTGCGAATAACAAAAGAACAATAACAAACAAATCAAGAAACAAACCAACCACAAGAACTGAAAATAATTTTTTTTCATTGAAAAAAATTGTCATGGCGACTACATACCAAAGGATTATATTTTGTCTGACTTATACCTCGTACTAAACTACAAGCTATATTAAAAAACCTAAAATATAAAACATTAAAAGTACCATAATACAAAATCAAATCAAATATAAAATTAATAAATTTCAACACTCCCCATCAAACTCAGGTGGTAAAAAACATGAGTTTGCCAACAAAAAACAAAAAAATGACAAACAGATGTAGGTGTTGTTAGGCAAACAGTTAGATGCATTACAGATATAAGCATATGCAGATGCCGAAATTAGATGTAGATTGCCGATGCAGGATGCCAAAGCCGAAACCGGATCCTCTCCGGATCCCAATCATCTGAGCATAAGGATCATCTGGTAGGGAACCATTGAAATTTGATCCAACGGTTACAACTATTATAACTTTTATAAGGATCCCTATTTATAACCGTTAGATTAAATTTCAACGACCTGAATCATTTGATCCTTAAGCTCAGATTATTGGAATCCGGTTCCACCAAAGCCATGCAGATTCTGGATGCAGAAAGATTTAGATGCATATGCAAACTCGGAAATCGGAGTACTGTTCATCAACGATACTTGGTGTGTTTATTAATCTAACAAACACAACTCTTATCAAGACAAAAAAGGAACAGCAATTGACAAGAGTGACAGCGGAAATCTTATCATGACCCAAGACGAAACCAAAATACATACAATGTCCACAAACCAAAATTATACAGACCAAGTAATACTACAGGAGCGAATTAAACTCTGAATGATCAAACCCGCTTTGTTAACAAGGTAAAAAGTTAGATTGTGAAGGACAAAGGAAGAAAAACAAAATATGTAACAAATAGAGGAACAAACCGACTACAAAAATAAAGATTGTCACGATAACTACATGACATTGCACTATTATAATTGAAAGTCACGTGACAGTGAACCTGTTTTATGTAAGTTGCTCTGAAAAATTACATCAATTCAATTATCTTTCCAATACAAAATCTAAATTCTAAACCTAACATCCCAAATAAGAAATGCTTAACTAGGACCATCTAAAGTAATCTCATTGATACAAAAGAATTTTCACTTGATCTTTTATTGTACATATACAACGAATTGAGTAACAAACTACATGATACACTATTTTTCTAATCAAACAATTTTAATGATACAATAAATTACAGGTGAACAAAAGATCGTAATTTGTGAACAATTTTATGTATTCAAATCAGTCTTGTTTGTTTAGTTACCGCTTTCATTTCTAGCGTCTGCTCTTTACACATACAATCTGGCATGGGAAATGTATACAGCGACGCACTGGGTTTTTTCAGTTCAACACCCTTTTGGTCACTGTGGCGAAGCATGTCTTGCATCTGCCGTTTGAAATCTTCCCATCTGCAGTATACGAAATAGGGATGAACATAAATGTTAAAGTTGTTTGTCTACGATGCGTTCTAGTGCAAACAAACGACCACTCAGAGGAAGTAATCAAATTACATCCATGTCGTTTTGTGTGTGTGTGTGTGTGTGTATATCATTTGTTGCCCCATTTTTATTTGCTAGTTTAATCTGGATATACTATGGAAGCGACAACCATACTGAAACCATTACAGAGAACACTGAGGTGCTTGGAGTTAACAAAGGTCAAAAAGATAAGCAATGCATGGTAACAATACACATTCCCAGCCCAACACAAAGAGAAACAAAATGTTAGAATTGTACAACTATTCAGATTGTTTTTGCATTTTCAATCGAGTTTTAACATCTGCAACATGCACAAGTCAAAACGTAGAAAGACAAAGAAAGCAAAGACATGCCTTAGAAAACTATTCAACAGAGTTTAAAATATGTGGTTTTTTTTTTTTTAGTTACCGCTACGTGTTTTAGGTTGCATGGATGAAACTGAACAGATGAAGTCAAATTTAACTTAACACTTCAACCACACGTTACCTGATATTGGGATTATCAAACAAAAGTGTTAATTTTCTTTTATCAGGCTTGATTGTCTTTGAATGTCCTCCATAGAGATACCGCCTGTGACCCATCAAGAAGTGGGGGAAATTTCCTCCCTGAGTGGTGACAAATACTTCACTATGGAGGCAAACCGTGTAATCAAGAGCCGCCAACCTAGATAAGTGGCCCTACATCATAAAATTTAGCATTGAAAAAATTAACTTGAGCTAAGTCTATTATTATATGAAAAGGAGTAAAATTAGAAGAATGGATCTCCTGCAGAAATGGTATAATACATATTTCACTAGTTTGAAGCTAATGTTTGCTTTTGTTCTATGTGACTGATGCGTAATTCGTTGGAGATGTAATTGCATTCATACGATACCTTAAAAGGAGCAAGTTCTTCTGCAGTTGCCAGTGTATCCTTCATTTCCAAGTGTGGAAACATCTGTTTAAGAGGAGCCATGTACTTCTCTGCTTTATAAATTTTTCCAGCTGCAACGTAAACTGAGGTGGTATTATCAAATCCCATACCCCTGAGCATCATTCCTACCTACAGCACCAGATACTTCATTAGTCACTAAGGTTGAGAAAGAATTCAATACTAATCCCTATTAGGATGAACTTTAGCTTTATGTTCTGTACTTGGTCCAGCCACGGCCAGAACAGCTATCGGACAAAATTTGACCATGTTCATCCAAAATAAAAATCAACAAAAAATGTATTAGTCAAAACAATAATGATGATGCGGCATTAACATTTTGTTCATTTAAACAGAAATACAAAACCTTCAGAGGGGCAAAAAAAGTCCCCATGCCCCTCCCGCCAAAACCCTCTCTTTCCCACCACCTCCACCAAAAGCAAAACCACTGTCCAGCAAAAGAGACGCAATCTATCTAAACTAATCTCCAAGCCCTTTCAATTCCAAAAACTCATCTTCCAGCGAGCAAAACTTTCCAGGAACCCTAGATTCTAGACCAACGCCAAGCTGTCAAGCATGCTGTTTCGCAGCTCAGCTACGCTGATTCGGGGATGAACATCGTTCAGATCATATTCAAACAGGATGGACAGACCCAAAAAACTGCTGAAATTCATGGGATATTGAAAACCCACAAAAGCAGAAAAAGACTACCAAGATTTGGAAGTACAGAGTCAGTGAAGTGCAAAATGACGATAAACGACTCTTTTTGAAGGGAGGAGATTTGACCGGTAAACCCTATTTACAGCCACAACCACAGTTCTCATATTTTAAGTTAAAGACCACAAATTGTTAAATAGACTCCAATCTCTTTTGTGTCAACCCCAATTGCTTTCAAGCTCATATCCTACTACACCACCAAAAGAAAGATAAACAGCATCAAAATGGTCAATCATATCCAACATTGCAATCACAACTTAATAATTAACATCAAACCTACAATTCATGAAGATGATTTGATCAGCAACATTCGTAATTATATTCACAGGGAAATCATAGAAAAAGGAAAGGCACTAAAGCTGAGGACTAAGTCATAAAAAAGGTAAGCCACTAGAGCTGAAGGCTGAAGTCCTGGTCCTAATCATGCACGACCCCAACTAAAGTTGGCAACTAGGGGTACGAATAAGCCAAGCCTTGCAAGCAACTTGAAAACCACTCATCAAGAGCTATAATTACCTCTAGACCATTTGAAGACTAGATAAGCTAAAAAAATTTAGCTTAAGCTAAGGTCCTGAGCATGTTCTTTGGAGTATTTTGACTATGACAGATATATGCATAAGAGG